GCCAAACTAGGACACTAGACATACATGTGCATGTGCAACAAAAATGCACAGCAAGTGTAGCATGAGTACGAAAACAACACGTGCCCAGTAAGTATCCCGTCTAATCTCGAAGAAGTAGAGACGAGAGGTCGACTTCGACACTTACTAGTGGTCCAATAATAGTATACCAATAATATAGTAAATCGAGGATTTTATTATAAACAGTTGTAACTCAATAGCATGAAGCAGGTAAACAATTCTTTTATTAATAGGAAATTTTCAAATTTGTTTTCATCATTTATACATTTATCTCAAGCCAGAGAGGCAATATCTTCATTTATAAATTCGCAAGTCAAGCAATACAAACATGCGCAAGTCATGGCGAGGTACGACCTGATCCAACAATATTTAAATTGTGCACTGCCAGAGGTTCTAATGGCGCGAACCATAGATGCATCTAATACCGCGCTAGCGAATCATACATGCGACGCGGTCAAATATAAATAAACACACCAAATTGTCAACCAAGAATCATCAGAGAAACAATTACCCAAAAAAAATGACAACTTCTTTTTAACAGTCAAAAAAATGATGTTTAATTCCTTTAGAAATTCTTTTACCAGTTCGATATGATTTAAGCATTTTAAATAGACCACAAGATTTCAAAGATTACAAGTAAAGCATGCTTTTGGGTCCTAGACTACCCGGGCATAAGCATAATAGTAGCTACGCACGGACTCTCGTCACCTCGTGCGTACGTAGCCCCCAAAAATAGAAGCACATAACCAATTAATTCACCTATGGGGATAATTCCCTCTTACAAGGTTAGAAAGGAGACTCACCTCGCTCCGAAGTTCCATAACCGGCATTCCACGCCCTTCCGAAGACTCAAACCGATGCACAACACTCCAAATCTAGCCAATAATTATGCAAATCCATTAATATACGCTAGAATATTCATTATAATCCAACTTACAACAATTTCTACCCGATTGAAAATTCGGTAAAAATTACCCTCGGGCCCACGTGCCCGGACTCCAAAATTTTTCGAAGATAAAGTTTACCCATAACCTCACAAACTCAAATATATAATTTACTCTCAGTTTCATGTCCAAAATCGTGGTCAAAATCCAAGAATACATACTTTCTAGGTTTTCCTCAAACTCCCAAATTTCTACCAATTTCATGCTAAAATTCATACATAATCAATGTATTTAACTCAAGATAGGTGGGGATAGCTTACCTTGTCATTGATGATGAAAACCCTCACTTGAAGCTCTCCAAAAATCGTCCAAACAAGAGTGAATGGAAGAAAATGGGCCAAACCCCCGATTTAAAGAACCTCACCGCCTCCAGCATTTTCGCACCTGTGGTCACTTGACCGCTTCTGCGGTTCCGCAGGTGCGGCCCCACTACTGCTCCTGCAGTTTCTCACCAGGCTGCCCTTTCCGCTTTTGCGCCTCACCCACCGCAGGTGCGGTCTCGCTTCTGCGGCTGTATGATCGCATCTGCGTTCTTCACTTCTAGTCCAACACCGCATCTGCGTCCCTCATAGCTGCTTCTGCGGCTCCGCACCTAAGGCCCAAACCTCGCAGGTGCGGTTACACCAGAAGGCAGCTGTTTTACTTCTTCTTCAAATTTCAAAATTGATCCGTTAACCATCCGGAATCAACCCAAGGCCACCCCGTCCAATCACTCCAACCAGTCCCATAACATAATGCGGACCTACTCGAGGCCTCAAATCACATCAAACATTAAAATCACAAATCACACTCCATTTCAAACTTGATGAATTTTAGAACTCTGAACTTCTTCATTCGATGCCGAAACCTATCAAATCACCTCCGATTGACTTCAAATTTTGCACACAAGTCATATTCGACATTACGGACCTACTCCAACTTTCGGAATCGATATCTGACCACGATATCAAAAAGTCCACTTCCGATCAAACTTCTCAAAAACCTTCAAATTTCTAACTTTTGCCAAATGACTCCAAAATGACCTATGGACCTCCAAATCCACTTCGCGCTCCCAATACCAGAAGCACCATACGGAGCTATCCCAGACTCGGAATCCCAAACGGACATCGATAATACTGAATTGCACTTCAACCCATACTTATGAAATTCTTCCAAAATGCTAACTTACGCAATAGGCATCAAAACGCTCTCAGGTCATCCAAAACCCGATCCAGACATACGCCCAAGTCCAAAATCATCATACGAACCTGCTGGAACCTTCAAATCCTGATTCCGAGGTCGTTTACTCTACAATTCCAATCTTAGTCAATTTATCTAACTTAAAGCTTTCAAAATGAGAATTTTCTTTCCAAATCAATTCCAAACTTCCTGAAATTCAATTCCAACCACGCGTACAAGTCATTATACCTGAAATGAAGCTGCTCATGGCCTCAAACTGCTGAACGATGCGCTGGAGCTCAAAACAATCGATCGGATCGTTATATCCCAAGAAGACATGGAAGCTATGCGTCAAAAAGTGGATCAAATGGCACAAGAATTTCAAGCAACTCAGACTTTGAAAAAAAATTTGTTAAAAAGGAAAAGAAAGAAAGGCAGTCAAGATGCAATGGAGTCTGTGTCTGAGTCTGAGGAGGAGACTGAGTCTGACTAGGATATTATGTTTTAAAGTTGAAGTTAGAGACATGTTTAATTTATGTTGTTTGATTAGTTGGTTGAATTGCTATTAATATTACTGTTCGTTTTGTAGTAAATATTGGATTTGGATTGTTATACTAGGTGTTTGGTTGGTTGTTAGGTGTTCGGTACGTTGTTTTATTTGGCAGGTGGTGTAATTAAAATACAACAGATTTCTGCTAAAAATTTCCCAAAGATTTGTGACTAATTCAGTCGCAAATTGAGCTAAAAAAAATTAATTAAGATGTGCGACTGATTCAGTCGCAAATTAAGAATTTCTGAATTTTTTTAATTATTTAATATTCAATATGTATGACTGTTTCAGTCGGAATAATTAATTAAAAATTAATTTTATTATGTATTTTTCCAACGGAATCAGTCAAAACTTTTATTGTGTTTATTTTCTTAATTCTGGTGAGCGAATGAATCAGTCGCAAATTTAGCGACCAATTCGGTTGCAAATGGCTTAAATTCAAATGTCCCTGTATTTTGAGTTTGTGACTGACTCCGTTGCAAATTTTTGACTGATTCTGTCTCAAATATATTGCGACCACATGTTTTTCGATTGACACTTTTCAGTCGGAAATCCGTCGGAAAAACATGATTTTCAACTGATTTGACGATCGCAAATTTGTTGTTTTTTAGTCGAGAGTATTTTCCAAGATTCACTAGCTTTGTCCCTATGAAAAAGGTTACCAATTGACGGCGGCGTATCGAATCTAGTATAGAAGCTATGAGTTCAGAATTTCAAATGAACCTATAACTTTAGCCCAAACCCTATATATTTGCCTAAAAATTTATGTGATGCGATAAATTTCAAATCTGAACTCGTAAAGTTCAATCCTGGATTCATCTCCACTCGTTGAAACTAGTTAAAATAATAAATTGTTTCGTTGTTACCTTCAGCCATCCGCAATAAATTTTCGACTCATCGGTTTGCTTGCCATCACCATTATTTGACCCCCAAAAGGGGCATTATAAGATTTTATATTTTACCATTTACTTATTTAATTTTATATTATATTAGACTTTTACTTTTACACACAATCATTTCACCTAATAAATAATAGTAATTACATGTTATTCTTCTTCAATCGTAAAATTAGTAACCTGAAAAATAAGATAAGTTATCGATTTTAGACAACCAATTCCATTAGCCACCCTTGTTCACTACTTATGTTTCTATGTTTATTCAACAATTTACGTTTAGTTGTAATGGATTCAATATATATTTATTGATGTATGTACAGATTTTTTATGTTATCATTGTATTTTAATATGTCATAGTTGGTAACTGGATAAATACTTGTTTGCATTTAGTGTTTAACTTATATATTTTGTATTTATTGATTTGATAAAACACCTAGTTTTACTAAACTTTATAAGATGGTTCAAATATATTTAATAAACTAGCTCCTCAGTGCAGTGGCGGAGCCACATTCAATCAAGGGGTGTTAATTGAGAACCCTTCACCGAAAAAGTTAGATTGTACTGCTAGATAAATTTTTCTGTTTTATGTATTTTTATTATACGTTGACTCTCCTAAACTTTTCGGTGTATATATCTTTTTATATTTGACACCCCCTTTTCGATCAATAGATCCACCTTTGTCATATATTCCATACATCACACTAGATAGATATCATATTCATGGAATACGATTCACTTTCAAGATGCCTTGGTGGTGAAATGGTAGACACGCGAGACTCAAAATCTCGTGCTAAATAGCGTGGAGGTTCGAGTCCTCTTCAAGGCATAATATTGAGAATGCGAATGAGCATTCTCAATAAGAGAGTTCGGATCGAATCTGTATTGATATAACCGATTCGATCCGAGCTCTTGGAATTGGAATAAATTCGGCAGCGGATCGCGAAATCTTGGTGATCTTCTCTATCTAATGAATGGGGAGTCCGCTTTAAAATCGTCCGCCCTGCACCCACCCCGAGTATATGCTTCAACAAAAATCACACAAGGGTAGATTAGAAACCTCTGGTAAATGAAAATTTTGGCTCCGCCTAACAGAAAAAAGTGCAAGCTAAATGATGAAAGGTAATCCTACTTCGTGGATCAACTTGGTAGTTATACTCAAAATTACTGAACGTTATCTAAACCTGCGAAGATGCATAATTATATACTCTTAGAGAATCTTGACTTATGTATTAGATAGGCTTAAGTGGTTAAATAAATAGAAAAAAAAAATTAGGTACATTTGGTAGATTAGATCAATAGAGGAAAAAACAAGATTGGTAAATAAAATAAACAGGGTATACTAACAGATAAGAAAGAAATAAATTTATAAATATTTATATATAAATAAAAGATTAATTCTTTTCCTATATATTACAGTACTAACTTTTGAAGCTTTAAAATTTGTTAAGGCCTAAAGCAAATGGAGCCAAGCCTTAGTCACACGCACAAAAAGAAGATAAATATAATAAACCAAGCTAGTTATATGTAAATCGTACTCCTTTTGAAAGACCAACAAGCTTCTCCATTTCATAGTTCAAAACATAGGTCGTTCCTTGTGGTGTTAATTTCTTTGTGGCTACAATGGTGTTGAAAACCAAGAGATCCACTACTGACGAACATGATTTTTCAAAGAAAACCAAACCCAATTTTGAGCTCAAACACGCCTTTCACTCAGTCAAATCTCAAATCCCTTTAAACCATTGCCTATGGCTTTTCATTACCATATTCCTTCAGATCCTCATCCTCTTCTTCCTCATCGGCTCCTCTCCGCCGCATCCTCCGCCGTCAAACACCCAACAGCTGTTCGCTCTCGACCCCGACTGCCAATCCGGTTACGTTTACGTCTACGATCTCCCCGCAACATTCAACACAGAGTTCATTGACAAATGTAACGAATTAGACCCGTGGAAATCGCGTTGTAGCGCGGTTTCCAACGGTGGGTTCGGACCCAGAGCTACTGGGCTCGAACGCGTTGTACCAGCAAATCTTACTCCAGCTTGGTACTGGACTGACATGTATGCTGCTGAAGTCATTTACCATAACAGAATGTTGAGCCACAAATGCAGAACTTTGGATCCAGAAAAGGCAACGGGGTTTTACATTCCGTTTTACGCTGGACTTGATATTGGTAAATTCTTATGGTTCAATTATACAGCTAAAGATCGAGATCGTAAAAGTGAAATGGTTCTTGATTGGTTAAAAAAACAATCAACTTTTACTAGAGCTAAAGGAGTTGACCATTTTATGATGCTCGGTAGATTAACGTGGGATTTTCGAAGATTAAGTGATAAAGATTCAGAATGGGGGTCCAGTTTACTTTACATGCCGTTAATGAAAAACGTTTTCCGTTTATCCGTTGAGAAACATCAGAACGATGATTTAGAAGAAAGTGTTCCTTATCCTACAGCATTTCATCCAAGATCAGAATCCGACATTGTACAATGGCAAAATTACATTCGTAACTACGAACGTACTAAGTTGTTTTCTTTCGTTGGTGCTAAACGTGAGAAAATCAAGAATGATTTTCGTGGGATATTAATGGATTACTGTAAAAGTGAAGATAATTGTCGTGCCGTTGATTGTGCAACCACCGTTTGTTCCGACGGAGCTCCGGCGATTATGGAGGCGTTTCTTGATTCAGATTTCTGTTTACAGCCAAGAGGTGACGGGTTGACTAGACGGTCAACGTTTGACTGTATGTTGGCCGGTTCAATTCCGGTTTATTTCTGGAGAGGAACATTTAAAGGTCAATATGAATGGCATTTGCCGTGGATGTCTGAGACTTATACAGTGTTTATTGATAATGATGATGTGAGAGATACAAATGGGACATTGATTTTAAAGGTATTAGAAGGTATTCATAAAGATAAGGTAAAAGAAATGAGAGAGACTTTGATTAATCTTCTTCCTAAGTTTGTTTATGCGAGATCAGGTGAAGATATAGGAGGTGTAAAAGATGCATTTGATATTACCATTGATAAAGTATTGAAGAGGTTGAAGTCTCGTAGAGATCAACTTTTTTCACGGGGTCAAAGGATATTTTGAATAGTAAACATTGATGAACTAGAGTTTTGGAATCACGACAAAATTATCTCTGTGTAATTTATAGGTTACGGATTCGAGCCGTAAATTTAACCATTTATATTTATAGTTAAGATAGCCTGATTACATCAAAATGCGACCCTTTTCCGGATTCATGAATACGAAAACCTTTTGCAACGAGCTGCCATTTTTCTTTACTTATTTTGATTGATGCATAGAAATAGTTAAATTCAGAAGGTGGAAATCACCTTTTTTCTCTTGTAAAAATCCTCACTTTTGAATAAAGTGAGACCACACTCAATATAGAATCATCATCACATTTTCCTTTATATGTCAGTAACAACCCGTAATTTTATGGGTTTCTTTTTTAGTACGAATTGCTCCACTTATTATATGTTTTTTACCCCACTAACCCTGCTTTTTATTACTCTTCTTTGAGGTAACTTTACTATCTTAAAGGTTGAGAAAGTCATAAAGTTGTAAGTCATACTAGAATTTTACCTCTTTGAGAGGTTCTTATTGCTGCAAATGATATTAGGTGATGTTCGTCTTGGCACGCGTATCGAGAAACAACCCCTATCGAATAATCAGGCGATATGGTCCAGGTATAGACGTATAGTATAAAGTTGGCATTATTATTCGGATAAGGTTAAATATTTATTTACACTCGATATTTATATTATTAATTAAATCAATGTATTTTATTATAATTAAGTATTCTATGCAGTAATAATATAAACTAATTAACCATAATTAGGTAATAAAAGAATATGTGAAATACAAATGACATAGGGTTGGGATCTGCTCCGGTGAATAATCCTCAGTAATGTTCAATGCTCTCGTAGATTATAGACACGTGTCCACCTATACAATTAATGGTTTAGATTATAGCCTCCTTTGTCACTCTCCGATACCTTAATTTTCACCTTCACCATAATTCCCAACTCTTTTTTTCTTCTCTCTATATCACATAAATGGCGAAGAACAAGAAATTGGGTGACAAAATTTGTTCTTTAAAACGATTGATTATATTTTCAGTAACGTTGATGTCATACGACATACTATCTCAGGAGATGCTTCTTTCAAGCAAGAATTACGTGGCCCTGCAAACCTTTTTATGACTTATCAATTAATGTAACAAAAACAAAGTTAACCAAAAAAAAAAAAAAGTAGAAAATTATGTCATATGTGATGTGAAAATTGTGTTTTAACATTGATTAAAGCCTTCAATAGCTAAGTTCTAATTAAGTCGGGCTTGCGAGATAAAGAACTGGGGCAACAATTGTGAAGGTGCACTCGAACTTCTTATTTAACGTTACAGTAAAAAAGAAACTATAGAGTTTGGGGAAATTCTGTAAAGAAGAAAGAGTACAAAGCTTTCTTTGTTTCATCAAACGTGGTTGCAACTATGTTTTTGAAAATGAAGTATTCACTCCGTGGCGGAGGTAGGATCTCCAGAAAGGGGGTTTAAATTTTTTTTTTTTTTAATAGCTAGTGGGAATTGAACTTATACTTTATGAAAGTTTTGAACCCTCTTGACCACTAAATTATACTTTTGGGTACTCTTAAAGGGGTTCAAAACTTAATATATAGAGGTAAAAAATAGATTTGCCTTATATATACCGTGTAGTTTTTCGGCGACCCCTAAATCCGCCACTGCTCCCAAGTTCTTTGTCATCCACCTGCAACTAATAAGCTCTTTTAAGACCAAGTTCTCATTCTCGGAGTGATTTTATTTTGTGTCTCACACAACTTACACTAGTTGTCTGAGGTCTCTTTTTATCTCATATATTTGTGGACCCATATCTTACACATTTGGGTCTACAAAAATTCTGGGACCATACAGTTGTAAGACAAAAAAGATGCCTCACACAACTAGTATCAGTTGTGTGAGACACAAAATAAAATTTTTCGTAAAGTGACTGTGAAAAGTAAAGGTGACAGAGAATGAAATAGAGGGTTGTAATCTAAACCATTAATTGTATAGGTGTACACGTGTCTATAATCTACGAGAGCATTGAACATTACTGGAGGATTATTCACTGGAGCGGATCCCAACCCAATGACATATTACTTGATATTAATTATAGACATTACGGCAATCAATGAACAGCCACCTAGTACTCCCTCCGATCCTGAATAAGTGATTTTTTGGTTTTTTTCTTGTGGTCTAAAATTTATAATTTTTTTTTATTTTAAGAATGAATTAATTATTTTTTTCCTACATTGCCCTTTGAGTAGATAATGTTGGAATATGTCTTAGAAGTATTTTTATGAAGAGATAATAAAAATTAATATGATCAATTTTATTGCTGATTAATGTTAAAAGATAATTTTCTTAATCTGTATGAAAATAGCTAAGCACTCATTGTAAACCTGAGTAGTAATAAATTTTAATTACGGGCTCCCAAAAAAGTAGCCCCACTTCCTTTACCCTATCTTCTTCAGATTTAACATTCCAGAGTGGTCCATACTCCATACTCCACTGTGTTTATTTTTTTGTTGCTTTGTTTTAATTTAAATGACACATTTCGCTTATTGAGAGTCAAACATGATAAAGTTTGATTAATATTTTAAAATATTTTTTTTATCATATTGATATAAGAAAATTATAACTTATAATAGTACTTTTCGTATAGTTTTTAAATATTTAAATTTTAAAATATTGAGATGAATTAATTCAATGTAACTTTAAAGTTTAATCAAATTGACTCTCAATAAGCGAAATGTATCATCTAAATTGAGAAAAAAGAAAATATATTTTTTCTCTTTCTCTAGATAATAGCAATAAGCATTGTGGTCCAATTTCTTTAAATTCTTGAGAACTCGATCATCCATTTGATCTGCATATCCAGTTGCGCAGAAAACCTGAGTCATGATTTATGTTTCAGAAAAGATTCCGATCTACTCCTAATTATACATATATAAATCAAAGACTTTATAATATATTGTTCTAATGAAATCTTCATTATGATAAAGGGGAAAAAGAGGGGGTTCTAATGAAATCTTCATTATGATAAAGGGGAAAAAGAGGGGGGGGGGGGGGGTAGGGGGGGAAGGAGAGATAAAAGAAACACAATGTCGCATCTCTTCCTTTTTTCCCAATAAAGAATGTACCCAAATAATATCCAGTCATCTTATTGTTATGTTATTTTAGTGTTATTATTGTTTTTGTCTTTATGAATTTCAACGTGGCTTCTTTACTATTGTTTTTTAATATGAATATTTTTTCAATCCTACTTAGATGCTTTTCTTGAGCTGAAGATTTATCTGAAGTAATCTCTCGATAAAGTATGCGTATATATTACCCTTCTCAGATGTTGTTGTTGCTATCATCAATACTAAATATCAATATTTGTAAATACTGATTTTTAACAATTAATATTTGTAAGTATTGAACCACGGAATAAATAATCTCTTTGAGTGAGTAACGTGGAATCTTTCATAAACTACTTTAGTTTAGAGCCTAATAACTATAATTTGCCTAATTACCATTCATAGCTACTATTCAATTGTTACTAACTTGTATCACTTATATTCGAACGTGCAACGAATACAGCCTGTGTCAACTGTACTCGTTCGCGCAATGAATACAACATGTATCGATTATTTATTCGTGTAACGAATACAATTAACGCGAAATACAAAAATACAGAAAAACAAAATGTTCTTTTTGAGATTAGAACTCAAGACTTTCACTAGCTAAGTAGGAGCTCCAACCAAGTTATGAGAGCTAGTTGTTCTTTTATTTCAGTTTAAAATAATTGCTCTCTTATTTCATAGATTTGCTATAAAATTCAAATATCGCTATAAATAGTAAATTTGCTAAAAGTATAATTACAAATAATCAATACAATATAAATATTTAATGTGTCGCGTAAGTTTTCCTTTTACATGTGGTAGGCCTATTATTGCAAACTTGCAATTTGTGTTGGGACACAATATGGGGTCAGAAGATCCCACATGCATTAAATTAAAATGAAAAGAAACAAGATTATACCAATTAGTTGAAGGATATGGGTTAACACGTTGAGAGTTAAAGCGACCCATGCTTCTACATTTGTCTTCTTTTTTCTTTTTGTTTTTTACTTCAAACACGAGTCACGATTTTATTGTTAATGTGCGCAAAAAGAAGTTGCCGAAGGGGGACTAGGCCTTATCCTCGTATACATTTTGGAGCCTGTACCAAGCCTCAAGATATGTAAACATAACAGTTCCCTAGCTTCATCCATCTATTATATACTTCCAGCTTCAATCACATTTTTGGCTATCTTCATCCATCTATTATACGACCTCCATTTCAATATATACTTCCAGCTTCAATCACACAGCAGATTTCTGTAATATTTGTTATGCAGACTTTGGTTGGTATTGAAGTAACAAGGCATTTATGCAGACTTTGGTTGGTATTGAAGTAACAAGGCATTACGCGGAAGTTAACAAAAATAAATTTTAGTAGCGATAAATCAAATGATAAAGAGAATTATATTAAAAGAGGCATATAATATTTTAATATGGTTTGGTCAATTGACACATCAATCTATTAATATACAAGAAAAAAACTTATAGAGAGAATAAATTCTCTCCCTAAACAAGACTGACTACATTGTAGATGCTATTATTTTTATTGGGTGAAGAAGGAATTTTCAATTTATAGAAATACAAAACTTCTCCTCCAGAAAAAAAGATCTGCTATATTTTTATTTAAGAAAAAATAAAATCAGTTGGATAAATATTTTTTTCCATTCAAGAAAAAAAGTAAAATCTAAATATAGTAAGAAAATCAGACAAACCATAACACCTTTTATAGTTATTTTATTCTATTTAAATCTCTTTTGAGAATGAAAAAAAAAACCTGAATAGTCTTCCCCAACCATCAAATTTCCACTACTAATCATACAACAAGTTCTCTTTGACATGAAAGTCCACAATTTTCATTTTCCTTTCATTAGAAAAATATATAAAGTTGCATCCTCTCAGAGACGGGTCAGAATTTCAACTCTACGAGTTTAAAATTCTAGAATAGCAATATAAGGTGTTAGTAATTGGGTTCTAAATTTTATTTTGTACATATTAAAAATTAATTTCTTAATACATATAGAGTTTGCACAAAAATTACTAAGTTAGAACCCATTCTTCGGCTTCTAGTTTCGCCCCTTGTGACGACCCGACCGGTCGTTTTGAGCTCTAGCGCGCCGTTTAGCAGTTTAAGGCCATGAGCAGCTTCATTTCATGTATTATGACTTGTACGCGTGGTCGGAATTAAATTTCGGGAAGTTCGGAGTTGATTTGGAAAGAAAATTCTCATTTCAGAAGCCTTAAGTTGAAA